AGTGAGTCTCTTGAGATTTGTTTTTTCCTCTGGTTGAATGATTTTGCCAATGTTACTCCTTTTGTCTGGAATTAAAGTTATTTTATTTTTTCCTAATTTTAATCTTTTAGGCACAGATTAGGCACCTGTCCACATGTTTACGGGTAAACATAGTTTTGTGTGTGTGTGTGTGTGTGTGTGTGTGTGTGTGTGTGTGTTGTGGCCTTTTATCCACACGTAAATGTCATTTTAGGTCACTGCTAATTTAACTTTTCAAAATCTACTTCCACCGTGAAGAGTTTCAGAAGTACAGTTTCTGGGTTTTCATGCAGAAAAGAGGAAAATAAAGTCTTGGAAAGGTCCTTTTTTTGAGTTTTGTATTGAGTTATCCTTTGAAAGCTTCAAATTGGCAAATGTTTCTGTTGAGTTATGTTTATATCACCACCTGTTGCTTCAGCACACTCCTGACGTCAGTTTTCACAATGTCATGCTGAGGCATATGTTTTTCAAAATTAAATTTGCTCTAATTGTTGATGACTGTACAGAGAATAGAGACATGAATCTTTACAAAGAAATTTATGGGTGAATCTCAAAACGGCAAAGATGTTGGCCGCCCTCAAAATGCCCACCAAATAGTGAAAGAAAAAGAAAGAATAAAGAAAAGCAAAATCATGACTTAGGTTGAAAATAAACTGCCAAATCAAAGAGAAAGAAATGTATTTCTACAGCTGTCTCTGCAGAACCTATGTAGGTTAAACACACATTTTTCAGTTGGAATCGTAAGCATTTGAATAGTATTCATAGAAAACTGAAGAATCATAAATACTGATCTAAAATACTGCAGAATTTGTTGATATAAAACATATTATAGCTCAAAGGACTGCACTGAATCAGTCAGCAGGAAAGGGCGAGATAAGGCCTGCATGTTTAATCAGCAGACCCTGTTCTTTTTGAATTTGTCACAAGTAATTTGCTGCCACATCTTTCAGCAGTCCGTCTCCTAGGTGATGCTTATCTGATGGGGAGGGGTTGTTTTAGGAGGTGAAATGATGGGATGCCTTCTGGGTGGTCATTGTCTGTCAAGACAATAACTGCCCTTGTTGCCTACTGAGATAGGGAAACGTGCGTATGTATGAGTGAACAGAGCAGTAAGACGTCAAGTATGACGTCCGAATGAGACAAACTGGTTGCAGGGAACCACTGAAAGCCTGACCTTGATGTAACTGAATAGTTGCAGAGAGAGTGGGTTTGTGCGATTTGCGCTTTATGGGAGGACAAGTAACAGCTTACCCAGCACCAGAGTTGGCCAGTTGGCTATCCTCGCCTTCAGGCCTTGATGAAAAATCTCATGAAGGAACATGATGGTCTCACTGAAGACACGTTGCGAATACAGTGTGAAAACAGAAATGAAAAGAGGTTTCATCTATTTATTTATCTTCAGTTTCTGTCTCCGCTTGTGCACCATGCGTAATTAACACTCCAGAGATTAATTTGCACTCACAGATGGACAAAACATGTTTGTTAATCGCACACATACACACCTGTTGAGGAAGATGCTGCTGACGTCGTCATGGCTGATGGGGGGTTTCTTGGAGCTGGCAGCCATCCTCAAAGGTCTGAGGAAACAGTTGACCAGGATATAGAGCTGGTGGACGTACCTGTTATTCCACACATAGAAAACATTTCAAACATTCAAATTAACCCATATTTTAATGATAATGTCTCATTAAAATAGTATTAATTGGGTGCCAACTTTGTAGTCAGATGATACAATTTCCTTCTATTTTGTTTTTAGCAGAAAGTTATACTCTGCTATACTTAGTTTTATTAATTCATTTTTTAGATTTGTAATTGTATTTTATATTTTTTTACATTGTATATTGGTATGTAGCACCACCACCCCCCAACACCCCTGCACAATGACGCAGGCTACTGGTCAAATGTCAGCTGTCAATCAACAGTCAACATGTAGTGAGCAAAGACCAGACTATGGAAGAAAAGCACATCAGCAGGTCGGTAGAGCGTAAACTGTTAGCAGCTGTTCCAGTGCTATAGAGTCCTGCTTTTTGCGTAGGACATTGATGCAAATTATGCTAGCACACGTTCCCAAAAGGCCTGAAGCAATGAGCATCGAGTGATAGCACTGTCACACTGGGAACAGAGGAACTGATAAAATCCACTGACAAAAAAATGCAGTCCACTTTATTGTGGACTGCATTCATCATTTTCCCACCTTATGTAGTTAAGTCTGTTTAATGCTGCTTGGCAGCACCTGCCAAGCGGACAAGAAGCTGATGCTAGAAGGATACAGATACATGAACAGCCAATCGCTGTCACTTATAACCACTAAATTTGAAAGCTGGAAAGAATCCCTCAAGAAAGCTGGGGCATTTTTACCGCAGTTTTATTTACATTAACATTTGTGCTTGAACTAATATTTAATATTGTGCTGTAGATGGCATGTATAAATGAAAATGATAGGACCATGTAGTTTATGTACTCGCTGCTTAAGAAGCAAATAAACAGTCTTTGGACGAACAGGTCAGCTGGTTTATTTTGATTATTTTTTAGGATGTGTGATCAACATAATCTGTCCATGACTTTGGCTAAAATTACGAATCCAGAGAAAATCTGGGTTATTTTCCTTTGTCAATCAGGGTGTGTAAATATGACTGTGATTCACTTTAGATTTGTTAAATCTAAAAAAACAACATTAAAAAAAATATAAAGTACTCTATATTTATCGGTAGAGTATATATTGTATATATTATATATATACCCTACAGCACAGTGCTTACAGTAGAAAAGATCATGACAGTCATTGTTTCCTGAGCTATAGTCGACACAGCAAGTGAGATAACATCATGTGCTCAAAGACTTAACAACAGTGACAACTTTTGTGCAGCGTGTGTGACTCGAGGCGTAATGCATTTGCATACTCGGTCTCTGCCTCCACCATATTGAAGACGATCTGGTTCCTCTTCCTCATGCTCTCAGCGTGAGGAGAGCAGATGTAGTCCTGAACAATGATCTTCCACTTCCTCCGACAGAGCCATCCCCGCATGAAACTCTGAACCTACAGATATAAAGACGTAGTAGTACAACAGATACAAATGAAAAAGCTTAGACAAGTTGGGTCATTTTTGTTTTTGTGACTGTACTATCTTTATTCATTCACCTTTTTGATCTTTTTGATATCCGGGTCATCGTTTTCATGGAAGACGTGGTAAGGCCGCATGCGCTCCTTAGTTTTGTTCAGAGCTATAATCTATTGGAGAAATTCAGACACAAATATGAGCACAATGTAGATGGCTTGACAAAAAGATTTAAATTGTTAGGTAAGAAAAATATCCATAAGACTTAATATAAACCTTCCGCTTTTTCTAGAAGGACGTTATATTCCTGTAGGAATCACCATTGATCTTTTGTGTGTGCGATAATCATTGTTGGTGTGTTTTCACCAGATAAGCATTAGACTTGCTCATCTTTGACAATCTGCTGCCTTCATTCAGAAAGAGAAAATGAGAGAAGATGGAGGCTCTCAGCTGGTGATGGTAAACAAATTAAGGATTACATCATGCGCCTAATCACCTGAAGTGCATCGTAGGGCACAGAAAGTGCAATCTTCTCCTATTCTAAACTAATCGATATAAAGCATACTAGTCACTTTTTTTGTCTGATTTTACAGCTGTGAAATACTCAGTGCAGACAACAGAGACAGATAAGCCTGTGACATTTACTCGCTGCAGGCAAGAAAAGACAACCACAAAGTTAATGTCATCTTCTTTAGCTCTGAAAATGGAGGAAAGGGAATGAGCTGGACAGATGCCAGATCTCTTAGTGGAAAAACAGAAAATCAAATTTCACTACAATGCAGAGGACCAGTTTTAAATACCAGAGATGACCAACTTCAAACATAGCCAGTAAAGGATTCTTCTTGCCAACACTACCATCTGTGCAGAAATGAACCCAGCAGAGGTTAGGACGAGCTGTAATACTGTTTTAGCCTCAACTATTTGTTCATACCTTTAGGCTTCTGACAGGCGTCTGACAGTATAAGTTTATTACATAGTGAGTAAAGGATGAAAGATGAAACCCAAAACATTTTCAGCCACAGCGCTTCATCTTCATTTTTTTATTCACTAGTGTGATCATGCAAATGGCAGCAGAGAGGAGCATGTCTGCCAACTGTTGACAGTTACAGTGGCTAGTTGGTTTAATTATTCATAAACACGGAGCAACACACACACACACAAACAAACAAACACGGGTAAGCTTTAATGAGATGGATCACCAACTGCACACTGGCTTTCTCTTTTTCCACGAGCAGTCCCATTGCACTGGCAGATGTTTCTTAACATAAAATTACTTTCTTTCACGTTTTCATTATCAGCCAGACTCCGTGTATCCTGCCAATGACAAATAACACCAGTTGTTTTAGGGAGAAGTATCTGAGTAACAGAGTGCTGCTCCTGTCCCAAAGACAGAAATACCATATGCAAGTCAAATGTTTCTGCAAGCGGCTATTGACGCAAATGAGCAGAGCGCTGTCAAGTGACAATGACAGCAGAGCTTTGATTTGTGGAAATGTTTGCAGCCGGCTCAAATAAGCAAATAACATCGCCTGGGGACAACTGCTGCACAGACAAGAATTCAATTTGAGTCGAGCAGCTGCACAATCAGAATAACTTTACAGTTCCTTCTGGTAATTCCTGTGCCACATACAAGAACACAGCATTGGGAGAACAGCGCTCCATACATAGCATTCATTTCTTCTTTGATAGAAGAATCATGATAACTTAAATTGTTTAAAAAGGAAAACAATGCAATTACTTTCTCTTTATTTTTACAGGCTGATATTTTCTGAATAAAATAACTATGGATTTTGTATCACCTGATACACTACCAGTGAATAATTCTAATGAAATCAAGCATAGCTTAATTCAAGAAGGCCACAGATAACAATTTAGCCACAATGTCAGCTAAACGTTTAGCTGTTGCCCTTTTACGCCATTTAAACTGCTTTAGTATGCCTACTGTTGCCGTGCATCTGCAAGTGGCTTTGCAACCTGCCTTTACCCCAGCTACTTCTTTTATGCTTTTTAACTCTTTCCCTCTTGTTTCCTTTTCTGAACTGAGTGGTTTCTGTCATATTTCAGGACTGCTTCTAGAACAAAATGACTGAGTGTGCATCAGAAATTAGTAACTCCCTATTCCTGTGCAGCTTACTAGGGCTACCCTTGGAAAAATCAGGAATCTATTCAAATGGTTGTTAAAAATTGAGGTGTCAAAAATCATCATTATGGATACTGGGGAGGTCGTCAAATGTTGGGGACAACCTTAATCAGTGTCATATGTACGGAATTGCCCGGAGGAACCCATCCGAGGGATTTAAAAAAATGTTTTGTAATCTAATCTATGTGTTGTCTAATCTGTGCTGGGGTCTTGCTGCACATCACTTTGTTGGAGTTTTCTAGCTCCTGTAATTCTTTCTTATTAACAATGTTGCAGAGGTCACTTTTGTTTTGTATGTGAGCATGGGCATGTGATTTATTGCATGTGGGGTTGGCAGCTGTTTGCAATAAAACTGATGGACAGTCTTTATTGAACAGTGGGCTTCTCTTCCTACGCTCAGAGGTAACTGAAAACCATTCCCACTCACACCTTTCCTGAGAAAAGACACACATAGTGAATACCAGCATGGTCTATGTACGCCCTACATATCTTTCTTGATTGAGTGACTTGCATCGTGATTTAGGCTGGGAGGGTAATCGCAGAATTAAAGTTTCTTAACATTTTCTTAAAATCAACTTGGTGGAAGGCTACAATCTGTCATGAGCAAAATACAATTTAAAGACATAGTGAAAAAAGTTAATACAATTTCCAAGACATAAGACATAAGACTCCTGTACAACTTCAAAAACTGTATGACTCATCCTGAAGGGCATCCAGATTCATCAACTCAAATATAATTTGCGGTGACTACCTAACTCTGCCTATCATATAAAACTGCACTGGCTGTTTTGCTCAGTTGCTGCATAAATGTGTATGTTTGCTTACAGTTCTTTTGAAAAAGCATGCATGATTTTAAATATTAGAGTCCTTAAGACTTCTGTCTCAAGAAGTCTTAAGAATTTGGCAATGCTATAATAGTACGCTGATTTTAATAATATAGTTCCTAGAGTTCCTTTCAAAGTAACCTGTGTAACAGAACACCTGCCTCCCAGAGCTAGCCTGTCAGAAGTACAGAGTACTGTGTGCTTTTTACTATGAAGACAGCTAGTCCAGAACCCAAGGGGTTATTTTAATAAAGAGGGCAGTTAAATGCAGAGAATCAGATGCTATCTTCTGAATTCTTTGAGATGTACTTGCTGAACTGTACCCTAGAGGAAGAATTTCACAATCTAAAAAAGAAATAAACATTTACAACAAAACTACACAAACAATAAAAATTGTCTGTGATATGAATAAAATGTTAACGATTCCACCTTTTAAGGTCTATGTGCATTTGTGTCGTGCGTTTTCACACATGCATAATGTACCTCTGCTTTAAGCCTCTCAATTTCAGTGTCCTGATCTTCTAGCTGAGTACGCAGCTGATTGGCAGCCACCTTCTCAGTCTCCACGATCTGTACAAGGTGGATGTATTTCTGCATCAGCACCTCTCGTTCGATGATAATGTCAGAGTAACTGAAAAGTTCACAGAGGATAAAATGTCAATATAAACAGCTAAATAATATGCTGAAAACAGAATGGGTACAAAAATAAAAAATGAATAAGTAGTCGCATGCATAAAACACAGCAGCTCTCACTGCTTGCTGTTGTAGTTTATATAGTGGGGGAAATGAGTATTTGAAAGAAAAGAATTGAACAGTCTCTAATTTTTATGGTAGTTTCATTTTAATGGAGAAACACAGAATATCAACCAAAAATCCTAAGAAAAAAAACACATTACATAAAATTTATAAATGGATTTGCATTAAGTGAAATAAGTACTTGATACTCAAACAAAACATGACTTGTTTCATGTTTCTTGGCTACTGTATGGCAACTCATGTAGCTCAAGAAACTCAAATGTCAGCTCCCCGCACAGATTTTCTGCAGGACCGAGGACTTGGAGACAGGCTAAGCCACTCCATGACCTTCATGTACTTCTTCTTTAGCCACTCATTTGTTACCTTGGTGATATGTTTTGGTGCTTTAGGGTTCTTGTTGAGGTAAGAGGGTTCTCCCTCAGCAATTAGAAGAAAAACAGCCCCAAAGCCTGAAAATATTTGTTTGATTGTGGGGATGGTGTTGTTTGGTTCATTAATTATTTCACTCAGTGACATGTAAATCAATTTACAATTTTTTTTTATCTTTTTTGTCTCGATTTGTGGTTGATATTATCTCTCTTTCCACTAAAATGAATCTACCATAAAATTAGAGGCTGTCAGCAAACTTACAATTTCAGCAGGAGATCAAATAATAATTTATCCCATTGATTATTGCTCCAAAGAATAACAAAAATCAATTTATGACAGAAATATATGCCACTATGTAACCAAAAGTGTGTTTTCATTACAAGAGCACCCTGATGTTGATTTCATCAGGTTTATTTGTCCTATGAACTATAAAAGTGTTTACTATACATGCTAAATATTTTAAAGTAGATATAATATAATAATATAATTTCCCTTTAAAACTGAAGCTCATAATCAGAATCATACATAGAGCACTGGTGCAATTATAAAGCACCAACCATAAAAAGCAATGCCCGAGATCCTTTAAAGCTATTAAATATTCTGTAACTTATAATTCCACCAAATTTAAGAATATTTTAAGTTTTACAGCTCTTATTTCTAAGCCATTTACGAATCCTGCAAATGCAAGCTGTAAAATGGTCAATATAATGTCAGTAAGTTATAGTGTTTGTCAGATTTAATGTTTTCACATTTTAGTGTCTTTTTGACTTGGGCTGTTTACTATATAAAGCTGATACATAAAGGATGACTTTTGTACAATACTGACAAGAGCTAAAAGTGATTTAAAAAATGCCAATATATATTTAGAAGTACTCTTTATATAGTAATGTACTGTGCATACCTGGCCTGCTGGATGGCCTCCACCCATTCATCGCACTCACACTCTTCCTCTGTCCGTAGCTCCAGTGGTTTCTGTCCATCATGACCAAACATGATGAGGAAGTAGTGCTGACAGAGAGATAAAGAAGGAAAAAAAGATTTTTACATTATTGTGTGACCCTGAAACTGGACAGAAGTGTTTTTGTTGTACCTTTGCTAATAATACCAATGCTGCAACTTTAAAATATTTCTTTGTATTTGCTTTCTATCTTTTAATTGCACAGATTATTCCCACGTAGAGTTCTGCACACTAAGCAGCTATATCTATCCCATAGGGTGGAGGAAAAGGGACACAGTACGGGGGAGGATGGGTGGCTCAGCACGCTTAGCACACAGTTCTCATCTGTTGCTCCCTTCTCCACCAGCCTTTTGCCAATTAGCTCGCTCGTTGCCTCCCTCTATCCCTTCTCTCGTTTTCTGCCTGCCTCTCTTATTACTCTGATGAATTTCGCTATGTAACTGCCTTCAAAACACTTCCCCACACTTACACACAGACACATACCAATACATGCAAGTGCAGAGGCACACACCTACAGTAGAGCACACACACTAGGCATTATGTGAAGTGATAGAGGCTTTTATTCAAATGGTCATGTCCTGGGGCACTGGGTTACCAGAAGAGCTGCTATTCTTAGTCAAGGAAAACAGAGACGACTGAGCTCTGCATTGGCTTTCTCTCTCCTCCTCCTCTCTTCTCTTTATCCCACCACCTCTTTCCTCCTCCCTCTCTCTCTTTGCACTTCACCTATCATCCCACTCCACCTCCTCTGCCCCGCTCAACCAGCATCCTCACTTTTCTTGTTTTCTAATCCCACTCCTCCTCCTCCACATCCCTTCGTACTTTCATCTCTTTGTGTCTCTCAGTAAGGACTCAGTGAACCAGATAGAGTCCAGAGGAGAGACGTTTGCCCTGCAGGAGGATGGTTGGGCTTTGGCCCCTGCAGTGGAGATGAGCTGGGGACTGAGGACAGGATATGTGAACACACACACACTCATAGACCCTCCTCCATTTCTATCCCCCTATCTCAGCTTTTTATGTATCTGTCATTTCGATTCACTGCCTGGCTGTATTTTATTATATCAACAATAATCTGTGCTCTAACAGCCTTTGACAGGGAGAAGGATGGGAGGAGAGAGGAAGAGAGAGACAGGAGAGGGAGGTGTTACATAACATTTCTTAACTGAGTACATATTTCTAAATTGTGTCACAACCCAACAAGATAACATTTCCATGGCAACAAAATATCTGCCGCTGCTGCTTTGTTTTGCACTTCCATTTTCTCCTTACGAGTGCTGCCTCTATTCATTTAAGGCTTTTATTTATCCATCATGCAATTTCAGGCATAAAAGGAAATAGTCTTCAACAGGAAGTGAAACATTGAGCTTAAATCTCTAGATGGATAACCTTTTGCACATCTAACATAATAGCTGTTATGTATTTGACCAACTGTGGCACTGTATGAGTCAGATGACAATTAATCTATATTTGCATGCATGCAAATATTTCCACATCATGTTGATTCAAGATCCTTTGATCACACAGATGTCTGTGTTGTTATTTTCACATAGAACAAATCAATGTGCTTTTGACATGCTTGTTTAAATTATCACAGCTTTTAATTAAAGTGAAAGCAGGAACACAACAGTCTAAAATAAAAGTAAGAGTCTTGCATTAAAAATGTTAATTCAATAATTATATTTTCAGCATATAGTAGTTAAATATAAAAGTCTACATATAAGTAACAATCTACTAGTAAACAACCTTAAAGTTGTGTAGTACTCTATTGACTTTTGGACCAGTCGTAGCACCACAGACCTACTGTTTTCCCATTTTTCTTGTTTTGTTCATGAAACATGAATGCGGATGCACAAACGTGATTGGATGGATAGCGGCACAGTGCGCTTGTAATATGCAAGTTACAGCACAATTTAAAATATTAAAAAGAATAAGGTTTGTGGATGTTTATGTGGAAGGAAGCGCAATACCCTAGTTTCTTAGACTGCAGGCCTTTATAGAGTGATTTGGTGAGAAAAACTGAAGGTAAACATAACTTTTATTGTTTTTTTTAAAAAAAACCTGTCAGGTCACCTTTAAGCAAACTATAAATTTTCATGCTCAGTGCAGTTTATATTACATATTATCCTTTTTCCCTTTCAGGCATGTAACTTATTACGCAATACAAACATTGAACTTCTTTGCACTAAATTTCTCTTTCAATGTAATTAACTACCTTTTGATTTATACCTGCTACTTAACAGATCCTAAAGACGGTATGTATGCTTGATATATATTTTTGTATCCTGCCTTAACATTTATAGTCTACCATTCTGCCAAGTTTTTTCTGCAACTGTGACCCAATTGTCACCAGGCAATCATTAAAGTTTAATGTTACCGCATCCTTTACAGAAGATTCTGCATCACGCTGGACCCCTAAAGCATTCCAGTGAATTGCTCTGTAACATTGTACTGTGTCCTCATTAGTTGGAGGGATTTTTTAATTTATTTTTATTGAGGACTTGACTGCTTCTACAAAACCTATAAACAAAGCGAGAGCTCTGCACATCTCATGAATGGTACTCTGTCTCTCTGTCTCTGAGCTATGACCACAGAGCTTCCCAACTTTACAGTACAGATCTGGACTCCTGGCTCAGTCTCCCTTCAAATCGACTCAAGCGTACCCTTCATCCCTGAGGGCCTTCGTTGTACTGTAAGAAATTTCATTTAGACAAATAAAGACAGCGAGGAAACAAAAGAAAAAAAAGACACGGAGCTTTTTTTGTGCTCTTTTACTCTTTATTTCACTTGCAACCAATTTAACAGTCACCTGATACACTCTTTAAATCCTGATGTGAGAAACAGCAGAAATAGGGCCGTGACAGCATGACATAAAGTCTATTTTACTTTCACCAAGCAAAGCTTAGGAACAATGTAAGGCAAAAATTATTATGCAGAACCATTAAAACTACCTGCTGTGAAAACAGAGGTGAGGAGCTCTTCGAACAAAAAAATGACTTTCACAGTCCAGCACAGCCTAAATGTTGGGGAATGAATGCTTGCCACACACATGTACAAGTTAATAATAGTGCAGATGATGAAATGCTTTTTCTCATTATTAAAGATTTATGAAAGCTTAAAATGAAATTTGTGTTAATAGATTTATTAGCCAAAAATGGCTGGCGGTCCCAGAAATACTCATCTTTTTTAATAAATATTTAAAAGCAGAAATGGCAGAATCACTGTGATTGGGGACTGAAACAGCCAATAATGATGCAACACTACCGTCTGCTTTGGGATCTGCACTGATGAGAGCAAAAATTGCATTTTGCAGCACTACAAATGGACCTTATTTTTTCACTTCATTCTAAAAATCAGAATTTCAAAGCTATTTTCTGCATCAGTGTTCTGTGCTTCAAAGATACATTAACCTCTTAAGCCCCAAGCCTACCTGATCTCCTGCTTTTTGCCCCTGTATCAGGGGGCGTTGGGGCTTAAGAGGTTAAAACCCAAACTATTAGAAGTTTTAGCTTCACTGGAGTTAAATTAGTATGACCTCAGCACAGAAACTTGGGTTTTTGAAACCAGCCTTGCTATCAAAAACCCAATATAATTTCATGACTAGGGTATGAGCCAGTTGTGTTTATGCAAAAAAGCACACAACAGGTGTTTGTGACAGTTTCAGCTGCTAGAATAGTGAAGCTGTAAGTAGGTCTGCTTGTTGTTTTTCTGGTTTAACTGTATACATAACCATGAATTAGCACATCACTTGTTCAGTGGTATATGCACAGCAGAAGTCCAACTTGAGTCAAACCTTATTAGGTGGAAAAGTCACCATTAAGCAGTTAAAAATGGAATTAAAGTTATGACCATCACTTTAAACCTCTATAAAAACGGAGCTGAATCTCAGACACTGCAGGCCTCAGTTAGCTGTTAGCATTTATCATAGAAAAAGACTGAACACATTTTATATTTTTGGAATTTCCTTTGGACAGACAAGACCTAGGTAGAGGCACTTGTCTATAATGCACACCACCACTTTTGGAGCAAACCAAACACATTATATCAGCACAAACAGCTAATAGCAACTGTCAGTTGGTGTCTATTGTCTATCTGTCCAAAAGCTAAAGTTTGGCTGAAACTGCATCATGCAACAGGACAACGATCCCAGGCACACCAGCAAAACTACAGCAGAAAAAAAAAAAAGAAAAAAAGGTGTTTCAATTGTGCGGTCAAAATTCAGACCTCATCCAAACCAAACTGTAATGTGCTTTTTTTTTTTTTTTTTTTTTTTTACAGGACTTGGTGGAGTCCTCCCATGACCAAACTTTCTTTTTTTAAAAATCAACACTTCATTACCTCATGACTTTATTCTTATGTTGGATGAACCTAATCCAGTAGCTCAACAGAAAAGGTACAGAACATTCAAATTCCTAAAAAGATTTAATATGGTTTGTAAATGGTTAACTGTGATGAGTAAGCAGCTGAAAAATGTTTATAAATATCAACACTACTGCTTTCACTTCTTAATCACAAATCTAATGCAAATGTGGCAGCGCAGCTAGCACACAGGTGCACAATTCACAAAAATAACGGCCTCACACAGTGTGTGGAGTTGTGTGTCATAGGACTATCGAAAGCAAACCACTATGCTGAACTTCATTTGGACTTTAGGTGTATGGAAACAAATAATAAAAAAAGCAACCAGTGCCACCATTGAGTCAAAAATGCAACAGAACAAGCATTCAACCAAAAAAGGAAAAGGTAGCTGAGTCTGTGACATGAGAGAAATAAAGAGAAGGGACTGACACGTAGATAATGAGAGAGAACAGTTTTTAAGGAAAGCGCTAACAAAGGTTGGCTGAAAAGTGCTACTTAGCTGATACATCTGAAAACACAAGCAGGTGTTTGTCCATCATTCTATAGACACACTGATTACATGGCAGAAAGGCAAAATTATTAACAAGCAATTTCAGCACAGAGTATAATCTGTCTCCGTTGAGTCCTACTGCATGGTAATTACCATCACAGGGGGGGAAAGAACACAGACCAGAGTTGTGTATGCAAGACTCTT